TTAAAGCTGCTACACGTAACCTACGTAAAGCTGCTATACGTAACTTACGTAAAGCTGCTACACTTAACGTACTTAAAGCTGTTATACGTAACGCACGTCGCTATTTTACGTAGCGTATAAAAGCTGCTATACGTAACTTACTCGTAAATTATAGTTCACGAGCTATATAGCTTTACGAATAACTTAACTTTACTAAAAAACTTAATAATTATAAAAAAAATTAGCTCTTTTAAAGTTTAGTAAAAGTAATACTTATGATTAAAAGAATTACGTGTACTAGCTAACTAAAAGGTTTTATAATCAAGTTAAAAGTCCTTTAATTAATATAACATTTTAAGCGAAGCATGCTAACTGACTCGTAAATTATAATTTACGAATGAACTCTTCTTTTAATTATTACTACCGGTATTCTTAACTAGCTAATTAAAATCGATTGAATATATTAATAATAATAAAAACACTAAAGATATCGATAAAAAAGAATTCAATTGATTATTGCAATCGATTGTAAATAAGTAAATATAAAAACTTAATAATATAAAAAAAGCAATTTAATAAACAAAATCAAAATCGCTAATTATAAAACTTAATAAAAGCGATACTCTTTGCAATTAAACGCTTGGTTCTAAAAGAAGCTTCTTTTCTTTTATTTTATACCGATCCCGCTTTATTATCTTCTTTTTCTTTATTCGTTTACGCTTTAAAGTTGATAATATATTTGTAATTCGTTCGCTTATAAAAGTATTAGATTTTAAGTCGTTAAACTTATATATAATAATTAACTTATTTTAACTTTAAATAACGATTAAAAGAGTTTTAAGTTTCGAAATACTAAGTTTCGAAGTTTAAGCGGCATTTAAAGTTCTATAAAATAGCGAAGCCGAATCCGGTATTCTATAATTAGTCAATATAATTAGTAAATATAATTAGTAAATATAATTAGTAAATGTAATTAGTAAATGTGATTAGTAAATGTAATTAGACTTAAGCTAGCTAATAATAATTAAAAGAGTTTACTCGTAAACCGTAGTTTATAAATCAATAAACATGCTTAGCTTACTACATTATAGCTTAAAAGACCTTTAACTTAAGTAGAAAACCTAATAATTAGCTAATGCACTTGATTTTTATTAATTATATAAAAAAAGTCAGCTCTTTTAAACTTTAAAAAGCAGATAAAGTCTTTTGCAATTGTATATATTTTACGACTTTACGAAGTTACGAATATATCTTTCGATCGCGAAAAGCATTTTAATAGTAATTAATAAATGTGATTAATAAATATGATTAGTAAATATAAGTAATAAAC